TTACATGCATCTCTTCTCTAACACACCTGAATCGAAAAGGCTCAATCCCCTCATTTAGCCCAGCAGAGGCACGGTAGCAAGCCACTCATTTGATTCAGATGTGTTAAAAATGGGGCGCATCATAAGGACTGGACTTGAGCACCCCTGTTCTAGAGAAATTACTAGAATAGAGCCAGCCTTCTTTATCAGCTCATTGAGCTTCTTACGTCACTTGCGCTGATGCTGTTAACCCAGCAGATGATGGCGGGAGAGATCACACTCTCCACAGTAGACTCATAGAAGATATACAGCATCTTTCTGCATACACTGAAGGACCCATGCTTTCTTAATTAAGAAGTAAAGTCTGATTTATTGATGATTTCAGATGCACTGTTGGTCAATTTGGTTGTGCAGGTGAACATCAAGGTATTTTTTCACCTCCACCACCACTTCTTCTCTGACTATATTAATATGATTTAACTTCTTCTGAAATGTACAATCATTTCCCTTGTTTGCTTCATATTCAGGATCAGAAGATTATTTTAATGACATGCAGCAAAGTGGTTCACTAGCTCCCCGTACCGCTTGTCTTCCATCTCTGATGAGCCTTATGATTGCACACATCTAAGTGTTTTCACAAAATACTCCACAAATGGATCAGAATTTCTTTTTTTTTCTGGTGTTGGATTCTGTGCAACTGGAAGGATTTTTCCCTTTTTGGACATTTGTTATATGTAACCATAGAAACCATAGTAGGATGGTTTTCACTCCTGGGAACAGCTTATTAACATCTCTAGAGCTGATCTGATACTTCAACTACACAACTTTATTTCTGTACATCTCTTGTTTGATTTCTTTGTATGTGTGGATTGCATGAGTTGTTACCAACGACTGATGAAAATGTCATATCAATAGACCCTCCAGAAATATTTCTACTGAGAAAAACGGTGTCGTGTTCAATACTTATTTTACCCACTATGTGTCTTTCCTCCTTTAGATCTCACCTTCTGACCTGGGTCTCCCTGAATACCTTGAGGGCCTTTGTCTCCTTTTGGTCCTCTAGGGCCCTGTGGAGGTTAATATTAGATAGGTTAGGAAGAGTCATTGTGAAACTGCATTTTTTTTTTAGGTCAGTAGTAAAACAAAATATCTGTATAACATAAAAGAACAAAGAAAATAGATATCCTTACTAAATATTTAGATTACTGAGAAGGGAAAATATAATTTTTTTCTCTTAATAGTAATATAAATAGCATGTGAACCCTAATATGTCTATAGTACAGTGGTCTGGTAAAAAGTTCTTACTGGAAATCCAGCTTTGCCTGGTAAACCCTCAGGGCCCTGAAACATATCAGCAAACACACAAACAAAGACCTTAAACTTAGCAAGTAACCACCCTCTGCTATCTATCTATTCTGACAAAGCAATACACACTACATACCAATAAGCTAAACAGAAACAGCAGCACAGTAGTTATACTTGTGTTGTTCCAAAGACATCTTGTTAATTATTTCAGGGCTTGTTGCTACTGCAGAACATGCAGTGCCTCCTGATGTTGCAACATTTCAAACTGCATAATCATTATCTTTTTTATATCTCTTGCTAAAAAAACACCCACCATGGGCCCTGGGGGTCCTCTGATTTGTGTGAAGTTTAATATCCCATCTGTAGTATTCAGCAGCAGCTGCAGACAGAATACATTTTGACTTAGTGTTAGAATGTTTAAAGAACAGGAGCAGCAATCTTTGCAGCAATGACTTCACCAACAAAAGAGTCAACTTAATATTTTATTTAGCCATACATTTTACCTTTGGTTTTAATGCTATTTATCTAACTGTGAAATTCAACAAAAATCCTATTAACATATCTGATTTACTATCTCTGACCCTTTCCTCTGATTCCTTCTTCGCAATGTCTCTTAATGTTTTGAAACATTGAGTTTAAAACTTGAAATTTAACACAACATTTCCTATAAATAAATCACACAAAAAACCAAACATGATGTTTTCTGTGCACCCATACATCTTGCAGATTAACAACAGGTCCAGGAGGTCCAGGAGGCCCAGGTGGTCCCGTGATACTGCGTCCATCCAAACCCTGATCGCCCTGTTGTATATAAATACAAGTGTTTATTTTTATTTTATAAACAGGATCTGTGGGCAAACAGGACTGTGAGGCAAATTTTTAAATTCCAACAAATACAATTTTTTTTAATTAAAAATCTATTAAGAAAAAAGGACCAATGGTGTATTGCAGGACAGATGACATTATGCTTTGTCTTTCTACCTTTGGTCCAGGACTGCCTTTATCTCCTTTGGGCCCCTGTTTAAAAGGAGAATAGCAAAATACTTTAGTAAAACAAACATCCCACACAGATTTTTTATTTTTTTTTGCATCCCCATGATGATATAATCTGTAGGTAACATAACTGCAAAGCTTTGTTTTAAAACGATTCATGCAGACTTGTTGGTAGCCCCCTAAAGATGTGTACACGATATAATAAACCAATTTTTTTCTGAAGCAGAATTACAAAAAATACAGATGTTTATTGAGCATGTTCGTTCATGAAGAAAATCTCACTAAGAAAAATAAAATCTCATAAAATATCCTACTGGTACAACAGTTAGATCTTTCCTTGTCAATTCCTCCTTTAATCTTTGCACAATCTAGTTAGATTGTTTTGGGTTGTGTCTTATTTTATTTTGTCCTTGCCTTAATCCGTAGTTCTTCTATACTATATATGAAAAAGGACTTAGAGAGGTTGTAGAAGAAACTTGATTTTGTATCTAGTAAAACATTTCTGTGTTGATCAGCCTGTATGTTTTTTTAGACTTCAAAATATTGTCATTAAGTAGAAGACAAAGGCGACAATACTCTGAAATGTAAACAAGTCTCCAGCACAGATGTATTGAGTTGCTGTTCACATATTCTTTATGTTATCCACACCAAACTGCTAAAAGCTCAGTATTTCCAACCAAATGACATGGTTCTAAATCTAAAGGTCTAAAGTCTCACCACAGTTAAGAAAGCTCCACATGTTTACATTTCATATTGTTTGGGGGGGGTTCCTTTGCATGCTTTTTAGCTGCCAAACATCGATGACACCTAAAATTTGTTATGGAGAATTTTATGGGACTTCTACCCATATGTAACTTGGCTGTTAGCATTCTCACTGCAGATATGTACTGTAGTTTATTGTATACTGTGCATTGTTAAAGTAAACCCATTACAAATCTGAAGCATCACCACGTTTGATCAGCCATACAACTCTATCATACTGTTGATGCTTACTCTAGCGCCTGGTAATCCCGCCAGGCCCTGAAGACCAATTGGTCCTGGTTCCCCCTGTTCACCCTGTAAAAAAAAGACAGCTCAGTCACTTATTCTACAGGCGACATCCAGCAGACATTATATAGCTATATCATTTCATAATTGCAAATGATACTAGTATTGCTTTACATAGCTTTTTTCCAGCTTGCAAACAACTTAGTGGAACAATTACGGAAATATTTATTTAGAAAAACCTATCTGAAACTCATCAAACAGAAGTGATGAGATTTGAAATTGATGAAAAGTGTTTAAGAGCTGGAACTGTTAGGAAAAAAATACGAACAATTTCTGAAAAGAATGGCCTCACCTTGATAGAACGTCCATCAGCTCCGGGGGGTCCATCCAAACCCTTAAGGGAACACAAGAAAGGATCTTCAACTGTAAACAGTGAAGCAAGCAGCACATCCATATGCTGGCTGCTTAAGAGCATGTTTCATATGCAACACATTAAACACAATAATTATTTATGTAATGAACAAATAAAGTGTCTTACAAAAGAATTCATACTGTACCCCTGGAAATACTAGATAAGAAAAAGTGGCACATAGTTGTTTACGAGAAAAAAAGTGATATGTGGCTTATTACTTTCACTTAAACAAGGTTTAATATTGTATTCAAGTATTTTTTTCCTCTCACATCCCTAAATTAAACTCAATGCTGCCAATTACCGTGAGACAACCAAAGTTATAATATATATTCAGAAGTTCTATAAACGTTTTTTGAGATTTGTACGAGAACATCAAGAAATAAAAAAAAACAAAAAACATAATGACTATCAAGGAATACAGCAGAAAGTTCAGGGATAAATTGAGATTGTGGAGAGATTAAAAGCTTATGAAAATGTCCAATGCTGGCCAATTGACACACTTATAAAGTCATATTTTAAAACAGGTGATAAGAGTATAGGAGAACTGAAAACCCCCTTAAGCATGGCTGTCCATGTACACTGGAAGGGGAAGCAGGGAGAGGGTTAGTTAGAGAAGCAACTGGAAGTCTCATTACAATCCTGGAAGAGCTGCAGAGATCCACAGCTTAGTTCAAGTAGGAGACTCTGCCAATAGAACTGCTATTAGTTGCTGCCTTTATTAGCCATTTTTAAAAAGATTACAGTCCCTGAGGGGGACAGAAAGAACCTGAGATGGAAGTATAACGGCTTTACCCATTTGAAAAACATAAAAACTAATTCTGCTCAATCCTCAGAACCAGTATCAGTCTGAGGAAAGGCTTTATTTTCAGCAGTAGAGAATCAATCCTTTTGTCACCTCTTCCCAGTTGTGCTCCTCTTTGCTTTGCTCAGTCATATCAAATACATTTTTTTTATTGAAGTAAGTGGTGCCAGCATGATAGAAGTAAAAAATAAAGCGCTATCAAAAGTTCTGGAAAGCTTTGTCACTATTGGTAGATTACCGGTGGTCCAGGTGGCCCTGGTACGCCAGGGGGGCCCTTAAAAACACAAAACAGAAAAAAAATTATTCCACAATAGTAGTGTATACAGCACATGTAAACAGACAGATAATTAAAACTGACCTGTGGTCCTCTTACTCCCGTCCTTATTAACAAGTCATTCTTTCCTGATCCTTCAATATCCTTTGAAAAAATTTATATAGAAATCAGTCTGGTGTAAAAACTTTAATAATTTTTTTTGCAGGAAATCAATAAAATATCTGGTTCTCTTTGTGATCTGAACTTGTAACCATTGTTTTCCGTTTTTTTTTCTTTTAAAGTAGGAATTTATGTTTACCTCTCCAATGGCAGTGGTTCCTGGAGGGCCAGGTGGCCCAGGGGGTCCTGCTGGACCTGCTGGGCCTCTCCTTCCTGGTCGACCAGTGAACCCTCGGGGCCCTGGAGGCCCTGGGGGGCCTACATCTCCACTTTCACCCTTAGGAGGCAAAGACATGTAGAACATGAAGGTCGTCTGATTTAAGTAATTTATTCATTTGGGGGAATAAATATAGTCTGTACTTTCCCCACAACAGCTTGTATAGTCAGTCAATTACCTTTGGTCCAGTTGGTCCAGGCATCCCTTGGTCACCCTGAAGGTGCAAAAATACATAATGGAAAACACCCAAAAACATTCCTTTTTGGTGACTATCAGCTCTCCTCCAGAGCATCTTAACTTGTCAAACTTTCAGACATTATTGGTAATGGCTAAGAATGGCCAGAGAACAGTTGATATAAATCTTTATTGTCTGTTGATTTCAATTTTAAATTTGTAATCATACCTTCTCTCCAACGGCTCCAGCTGGACCAGGAAAGCCATTTTCCCCTACAGGTCCCTTCATGGACAAACATCGAGAGTAACCAATCAAATGTCTATGAAGTAGTGATAAGAAAGGCTAGCATGTTAACAAAGCCTCTGTTAATTCCTCAGGCGCTCTATCTGGGATTAAAACCAGTTCTTGCAGAGCATAGAGGAATTATATAGAAAGAATAATGCTAATCAGTTAATTAGGAAAAAATCATCCATTCCAATGTTGTAAAGGACCACATGCAAATCTAAACTACTTATTGTTATTTTGTGCACGATAGTGGCAGTAATAGCACCTTAAATGCATGGATGATTTAATTCCTCTGTCACTGGTTTCTCATTATTTCTCCTCACAACTAAAATAATGAGAACTGAGTGAATTCTTTTAAAATAAGCCATTCAAATCCAAAGTACAACAATGTAGCTCGACCATTTAAAGCAACACCTAAACTGCACATGCAACGAGTGACATGCACATCTTTAATGGTCCCATTGACATCCTGATAAATATGTTTTTGATGCATCTGCCCTGTTCCGAATACTTTGTAGGGAATGTGTTGTTAATCAAAACTAAAAACATTTTTGATTAGGAAATTAATACATCTGCTTCGCTGTCTAACAACAGCTTTTGGCTTTGTTAGCTTTTGTGCTTAAGGGAAGCTTAAACTGCTGTAAAGATCACCTTACTCTTTCAGTGACGGATTGGACCATTTAAAGTGATATAAAAGGCAGCCTGCACTTAGCCTCAAAATATAATTTAATATATCTCAAATTAAGCTAATATCTAAGTCAAAACTTACACATTGTTGCTATAAAGCAGCATGACAGTGTAGGAAAGACTTTTGGAGTCTAATGGCACTGTCATACCTGGACGATTTAGTCAGCGTATCCCAAAAATGCTGGCATATGAATGAGTAAGTAATACGTTATGGGTCAGTTTAGTATAAGTTATGAGCACGCTGAAGCATGCTGGCACACGTTGACTTACGGCAAGTACGTCAAAAAATTTTGCTCAAAATTTGTTAACGTATGCCAGCATATGCTCATACGTCAGCCATAAGTTAAAGAAGTTATGTCATCGTTGACACATGTTAATTGTAAAACATGCTCTAACACAGAATCTTCTATTTCACTAGAACCAAGCCTGATTGGCTGTTGACTTTGGTGCCTGTTTTTTGTATCAACAAATGTCTGAGTGGATGCATGTTCAGCCATCAAAAACGGAATTCAGCATAGGAAGATTTTTGTAAAGACAATGACTGACGACAATGTTAAATCATTATCGTCCCACATTTGAGGCAGTGGTCTTGAAGGGCAAATATCATCACATAATAGAGCCAGAAAAGATCCTCTTGACACACTGAAACCAATTAATAACAGCCAGTTCCTGAATTAGGAGTGGGAAACAAGAACAGTGCTGGAACAGCAAAAATCTAGTTAAGAACTTTATAACACTGTACTGAAACCTTGAAGGATATGAGGAAACATAACATCTGCAGAAAACATGTAGTTTTGTAAATCTTGAATGATCCCCACTATATCTTCAGCTATGTTAAGTTTTAAAAGCAAGGGCCTTTCCTGCATAATACTGGGAAACTCAAAGGACTGGGACTACAACACTATGCAGCCTTAATAATTATACTGATCGTAAGGCTACTTGGAAAAAAAAACTAGGTTTGATACATAGAATGAAGACAGGGCTCTTGATCAATTCAAGAAAATCATGCGTTAGTGGTTTGCCTGGGTTGTCAAAAGAATCAGGTCAGGTAATGACTTAAATGAGTGCTAAGTTCCGTCCTTTCATTTCTACAAACTCTTCCTGGAAATATAATACAAATATAGTAGGCTATACATCTAGTTATATTGAATATCTAGATTGTCAAAGATGGAATAAAGTCAGTGAGTTTCAGGCAAGTTTATTGTTGAATTCTTAAGTACCAAGTGAAAAACATTGAGTTCTAGCCACTGAAGTGACTGTGGATGTTGATGTTTCTGTTGGTGTTTGTTAGTTGCACATATGCACGAATGCAGCTTTTTGTGTTAATGTATGTCTGAGTCCTCTCTCAGGTCAAGAACACATCGTCAGGCATTTTTCAGGCTAAAGAAGTTAACAGCAGCTTATGTATCAATATTAAGACTCCACTTTCAACCACTACCTCTGTAGCATTAGCTTAAAATGACATATGACACAAGCCAAATGAACTCCAGATTGATTAAATAGAGATAAATTATACT